TGTAACAACTTCATAGACAAGAACTGATACAAACTCCGTGAATGAAACCCGCAGTTCAACAAGTCACAGGATCTAGACGAACAACACTCAAGGTTTGGAGACCCAATTAATTCTAGTAGTCATGAACGTATTGATATAATCTCAACCCTTGAATAACTCAAATTAATAACCGAAATTGAAGTTAGAAGGCACCACAATTCAAACGTATTCTTTGAATTGACAAGCTAGTTTGAACACCCAGAACTCATTCTAAAGGTATTCAACGAGATGCTTACAAGAAGCTAAAGAGAAAACTCTCAATTGTTTACTGAAAAATTCTTCAAAATTTTTCCCCTTTTACAAAGAAAGTTTCGGCCTTTATATAGGCATCTTACCAATAAAATCCAAACCAAATTAGGATTCTACTTAACATAACTAACGGTCCAACAACATGCTTGCTGGCCGAATTTAATCCTAACAAATAGGCAACTTAAAAGACTAAAACAAAGCTAAATCAAACGTCCAAAAGTCAAGAAAAGCAAACGACTAAGACTAAGCTGGACAAACGACTCAAAACAGCAACTTTTGATCCACATCTTAATATTCGTGAACTATGAATGGCAGGTCCAACACCAATCATCTTTTAATGCCTTGATTTGAAGCTTCATTTGAAAGACCACCAACATTGAAACCCTAGGAATTCGGACCACATTTGGACGGTTTCTATGCTCACGTCAGGAACAAAAGAATCTAGATCAACGTACAAAAAGCAACGCATATGCTGATTCATTTATCAACAGTGAAAAATAACAAATAAAAAAATTAAAGAATGAAAAATGAGTTAAAAGTAAATCCAGCAGCTAGTTTTATGTTTTAAATCGTTTATGAGAGGGAGGAAGTTGTGGCATGAAACTAATGAACCCACTCTTACGGTACATATTACTCTCTAGGCCACACATAAGTGCCATTCTATGAGACTGCCTTAACATCAATGGATCGCAGTATTGCCTCCACCGATTGGTTCATACTCAACATTGATCACTGATGGAGCATCCGCAACATGACAGCAGGAAAAGGTGGTGTTCTTTGCAATCAACCTAGAAATTGGCTGATAAGCTTTGAGACAAATATGGGAAATCATTCCAATGTTATGGCTAAGGTGTGCGTTAAGAGCTGATCTTTTAATGGCTATTTGATCACAGTATACACAATTTAATGATTCATTCAGACTCGTAGATCTCTGTGGATTATTTAGAGAGGGATCTACCAGCAAGTTGTAAAAAATCTAACCTCACACGCGACTGCCAGCAAATGATGGGGATCTTTCAAAGCTATAAACTGGAATTCAGACAGTGTGTAATTTTCTTGCTGATGCATCCTCTAAGCACATGCCTTTAGCAGATCTTTTAATGATGGATGTTTGTATTTTCCCCACCTAAGTTACATTTTGCCTTTGCCAACTAACGATATTTTCCCCACCAAACAAATTTTTTTTCCTTCACTTTTAAAATGTAAACTTTACGTCCCTTACATATTCAAACTAGCAAAATTTGGTCCCAATATAAATTTTTGACCAACTTTTAGTTTGAAATCATCACATGACCTATATGTATTTATTTTTTAAGTACCTAAAAATCAAATCCCACCCATTTAGTGGTAAAAACGAGTATGAATTGGATTAGATTCTACTTCTTTTTGAAAAAAAAATATAGAGTAAATCTTATATATACGGATAATGTATACACTATCACATTTGAATCCAACACACATGCAAAAGTTGGATTTCAAATTTAAATTTTGCATAGTTGTCATTCATTCAAAATTGACAGTACATACATTGTCAGTGTAGAAAAGATTAATCTAAAAATATAGATAGTCTAAGTTAAATCTTATTTTTTTTTTTTAAGAACAACAATGAATACAGATCCTGTCATTTATTCAACTACAATTGAAATCTAATCTTTTGTTCCTAAAAAATGATTGTGTGCAAGTTATATAATAATTCAGGACAAAAAATGGTCAAAAATCTCGATTGCAACCAAAATTTACTGATTTAATTTTGTAAGGGATGTAAAATTACCACTTTAAGAGTAAAGAATAAAAAAATTTATTTAACGAAATATGAGGAATATTTTGAATGATTTCCCCTTTTGTAACAACAAAACCCTCCAATTGTATCATTTACTTATTATAATTATGTAGTATACTTTTTGGTCCTTTGTTACTGAACCCAAAAAAAAAATCATGGCCTGAAAAGTTCAGAATTGAAAGGAAAAGATGAAAAATAGAAGACAAATTAGTTTAGATGCCAAACTAGTGTTATATAGAAATGAAATAGTTGAACTTAGGGCAGAGTCCAACTACCTTAGGGCACACAAACCCTTTTTTTTTTGGCTAACCCCATACACGAGGACAAACGCCACCCCAAATTTTATTTATATGAAAAAAACAAAGTTACAAGAGGAGGACTAAACCTTACCTCAAGTATCAACATGAAAATGACCAAAAACACATCCTAGATGATCTTTATCTTCCTAACAGAAGGCATTCCTAATCTATCCAGTCTGATTTCCCCTCGAGCCAACTTTAGAAACATGTGTAGACACTCATAAATTCTGATATGATGTTAGGGATGAGAGACACCCACATTGGACAATATGTCAGCAACTTTATTAGCTTCCCTGAAACAATGAGAGAGTCAAGAAGAGTCCCCAACCAATTGCCATATCTGCCATACTTCTCTACGAATATGCCAAGGACACTACAAACACCGCTAAAGGATCCTAATTAAGACCAACAAGTCTGATTGCACACAAATGATAATGGTTAGATTTGTGATTTTTTTACTGTGTTTCATATTGTTTTTGACCCAATTTGTAAGATTAATTGGTATAAATTGTCCATTTTATATCACTAGTTTGCACTTTAAGTTGATAAATGAATTAGTTGTGATTTTTGTGATTTTACATGCAAAATCTCTTTGTTTTTGTAGGTAAAATGATCAAACTTAATTGGAAATGAAATGAGTGAGGCTGAGAAGCTTGAGGAGTCACGACAATGGCCAAATGAAGTGGTGCAAGGAAAGGATGAAGCTAAAAAAAAAAAAAAAAAGAAAACCCTCGAGGAATCCGCCCGCGGTTTGTGGCCAGTGAGCCATTTCGTAGCAAATCCATTGTCCTGCACAATCCCTGGGAGAATCCCTTGGGGGATTCATCTAAGGGATTCATGGTGGCTACAAGTTGTCAACTTGCATGGCTTTTCTTTCTTTCTTTATCTTGGATAGGGTACAAAATAACAATTCATACCAATTTTTGGAGGATCTAGGAGCTCAAAAACAAGAAAGAAACACATTACTGAAGAGAGAGATTAGCTCTTGATGCAAGAGAAGCACTTTTCTCTCTTTTCTCTCTAGCTTAGCTTAGTGATAGTTTTCAATCTAGTTTTCATTTCTCTTGAAGAACTTGAAGAACTCTTGATGTAACAATGTATTTTTTATGGCAATGAAAATGATGAATCTTGAAGATCCAGTTTCTTCACTTGAATAAGCATTTCTTTCTCTTTACTCTCTTTATTGTTTCATTAATACTTGGTTACATTGAAGACATGAACTTTGTTGTTAAATCTACTATGTCTAGCTAAACCTTCTTATTTTAGGAATAGATGAAGCTATTTGTGCCTTGATTATGGTTGGATAAAGTTGATTATTGTTATATCTTGTACTTGCTAGTTCATTTATTCTTACTTTAACACTTGTGAATGCTTGATCAACATTTACAAGCCATCCTAGCTATTGTTAATCTATGAGAATAGTTAACAATGATCGAAATGGAATAGATGGAATCTAAGGAGTAGGCACACGAAAATGGTGGCACACTTAGGTGGATGTTTTAGTATTCTTTAATCTAAATTAAGCCTTCACTTTAGATTTCACCATGAAAGTAGGGAAACTATAGTGTTGGCTAAGTTCAGTGCATTGGCGAGAGCGATTTCCGATGGCTTGAGTGAAATGCATTCTTATCAAGACATGAAGATTAGTGATAAATGACCATTTCATCCATAATTAGGTATATTTAGTGGATTCTATACCATAGAACACTTGTGTTTAGTTGAGTTTCTTCAAGTTGTTAATTTGCCTTGCATTAGTTTTAGCATTGTGGTAGTTTTACTTAGTTAGAATACTTGATTAGTTTAGATAATAGATTGAGTTAGAAACCTTGGTAGCTGAAAGTAATCCTCATAGAATCAATCCTAACTCCCTAATACTATGAGCCACGACCTGTATACTTGCAGTGAAAGAGAGAATTAAGTTAAAATTTAGAGCGTAGGTTTAAACCTCGTCAAGTTTTCAGCGTCATTGTCGGCGATTATGACAATATTAAGGCTAAGTGAGCTTTATCAGTCTAAACATTGTGTTATATTGTGAATATATTTAGACTTAGTAGATAGAGTAGCCTAAAGTAATTTAGTCTTTAGTTTTGGTTTTGGTTTTGGTAATCTTTGATTGTGGTTTCTTGTGGTGTATGCAGAGAGGTCTAAGAGTCACTGTTTCATTGGATCTCGAAATTGAAAGGACTTTAAGGAGGCAACGGAGGCAAGCACTACGAGAAGCTGTGGAGACTCAAGGTGAAGGAAAAATAACAATTGAACCTATGGTAAAGGAGGCGAATAGAAGAGCAGTACAGGACTTTGCATTGCCCGGAGGTGATGGTTTGCAAACGAGCATGGTGAGACCTGCGGTAAATGCTAACAATTTTGAGATTAACCCATTTCTTATACAAATGGTGCAACAATCTCAATTTGGAGGCAATGCAACCAAAGACTCAAATTCTCATTTATCTACATTTTTAGAAATTTGTGATACAATTAAACTTAATGGTGTTAGTGATGATACCATTAGGCTTAGATTGTTCTCATTCTCATTAAGAGACAAGGCCAAGTTTTGGTTACAATCTCATTCTCCTAATACCTTTACTATTTAAGCCGATCAAAAGTTTTTCTTAATAAGTTCTTTCTACCGGGCAAAACTGCATGGATATAGCTAGTTTTTGTCAACAAGAAGAAGAGACATTGTACGAGACTTGGGAGAGTTATCGGAAGCTACAACGAAGATGCCCTCATCATAGTCTACTCGATTGGCTCATAGTCCAAACATTCTACAATGGACTCACCTATTCGATAAAGACTCATATAGATGTAGCAGCGGGAGGAGCTTTAATGGGAAAGTCAGCCGAGGAAGCCTAACAACTAATTGAGGAAATGGCTACTAATAATTACCAATGGGCCAATGAGCGAGGTAATAGAAGGAGACCCACAGGTATGCTTGAAATTGATAACTTGACTTCTTTGAATGTTAAGGATAACGTAATCAAAATGTGAGGGCCCTAAAAATTATTTTCATATTTTGTATTTTTGAAAAATTATTCTATATTTTCTCTTATTTTTGAAAAAAAAATAAGTTACATTTTCTTTATTTTACTTGTCTTAATTTTATGGTGATGTTCATGGTTGAATCAAGATTTTTGTCTTTTCCCTTTTATAATTTGGTGTATGTTAAGTTTCGTAGTACATTAAGATAGTGTGACCGATTAGTGAGGTGTGCGCATTATATTTGGTGGACGAAAATAGGTGTGGTACTAGAGGGATTATGTGATTAGAAGTGTTAAGAGTGAATTAGAAGAACACAAGATGGAATAGATATTGGAAACACAAAAGAGACAAAGAGATAAGAATGAAACCATAAGTCGCCACTTGTCAACCATCAAGCCAATCTTTTACCAAGACTATTCTTAGTCTTTATCTTGCAAAATTGAACCCAAAATTTCTCATTTTTTATTGCTCTTGGCCGAACCATAGAGAGAGAGAAAGGAGAGGAGAAAACTTCAAAGTTCGACTTAATTCTTGCTAGATTGAGAAAGAAATTGACATGAAACCCTAATCCACTCCGATAAATCTTGAGTTAAGCTTGGAGGGAAGACCTTGGTGGAGTTTTTGGAGGAAAAAAACTCTTGTTTGCTTGGGAGTTTTGAGGTAAAGTTTCTAGAAAATATCTCTTTGACTTGTCTCTCGAGATTCATTCAAAATATGTCATGATTGAAGTTAAAGGAAACATGTTTATGAAAGATTTCATGGTTTTGCTAGGGTAGCTTGTAATTTCCAGATTTAATGTTCAATTTTCAGCCTTGATATGCATTTTCTAGCCTTGAAATGAACTTGATAACTTAGCTATGAGATGGTTTAGCTTTGATGTGAACTTTTAAGCTTTGGTATATGGTTTTCCAGCTTTGGTTGAAATTTCCAGTTTTAGGGTTAAAATTCCAGCTTTGATGTAGTTTACTTGAAGTTTTATATATGTCAGAGTATGATAGCATTTGTTGCTTTAGGGTGAAAAAGGCATGACTTTTACAGAAATTTTCATGGTTTTCAAGCTTATATTGGAATTTCCAGGTTTGATATAGAAAGGACATTGCCTGGTTTCAAGTTGATCTTTGTGTGATTTGGATGGTTTTCCTGCCAAGCATATATACCACATGATACATGATTTGCTAGACATGTTCTAGTGAGTTTTTGCTATAAGAATAAGGTGGAAATTGACTAGGTCATGCTGGAAATTTTGTTCAAATTTTGGCTCAAACTTGGGATAAAAGTGGGAGAGACTTTTCAGCTTTTACCTTGAGGTTTGCGTATATAATCCATGGCTATAATTCTTGGGCGGATTGAATTTTTTGTACAGACATACTTCAATGTTTTGGCCATAACTTGATGTAGCAAACTCGGATTTAGGTGCCGTTTATTGCGTTGGAAACTAGATTCAGAGGACTTTAATTTTGTATAAATATCTCGCCCTGTTTCTATTTTTTTGAAAGTTAATGACCCGTTAAAATCAACCCTTATGTATCACCTTGATGAGGAAATGATCTTTTGTTAGGAATTAGTGGTTAAGGGTAGTATTAGTCTCCTTTCTATGATAATTTGGAGTAGTGTGACATCTTTAACATTGTAATTGAGTATGTTATTATTATGGCCAGGTGAGAAAGGTAGCCATTATTCTGATTACTTGAACTAGCATGGGAGTTTTTGGCTTTGAACCTTGAGATTCTTGTCCCGCTTTCGTCACAAGTCTTGGCTATCATTGACATGTTCTTGCTTCATATGATACTTGACATATTGATTTATCATGCATGAGGTTTCACCTCTAGATTTGAATAAGAAAACTTTGCACTTTTGATAGCTATATGGGGGTTAAAACATGCAAATTGCCTTATTGGTTAAGTGAAGTTTTGAAATTCATAGTTTGCATTTATATTGGTATGAATTGGCAAGACTTTTGATGTATGATATAACCACAAGACCCGAGAGTGACTATGAGAAAGAACCATGGTTTGAAGTAAAATAATTGTGATCGATTGGTAGTGTTCCAACGGTATGATAGGACCATGCGATGTATTTGATTGATACTGCCATATATCTTGAACTACAAATGAATAGGCGAGTTTGTACTTTATTGTATTCGACCTAATTTGACTGATCTTTTGTTGTACTATTATAAGTGAAATGTTTTCAAGTGAATTGTTACAAGTGAAATATTTACAAGTGAACTGTATTCATGTGCATGACTTGAAAGTAACAGTCTGGATCCCAATCCCCATCGGCAAATTAGTCGAATCGAGCTAGCAAGGGCTTGGTTGAGCAGAATGATGAATCATGGGTACTGTTTACTGTTTATTCCACTATTTAATCCATTGGATGTGTCCTTTGGAATCGGTATACTCAAGTGTTACCACCCAGTGTTCTAGTGTTTTTGGATTTCAGACCTAGTAGGGGGTTGATCGATGGACGGAGATTGGAGTTAAGTGGTGTTGTACTGGACTTGTTATAATTCCATGGTTGACGAAGTGTCAATAGATCCTGGACAAGCTGCTACAGAACTTGCTCCTAAGAATAGGCTGTATCCTTTTATGTGAATGTGTTATTTACTGTATATTGTTAAATGAGTTATCTGGATATTACTTGCTTCATGGAAAATGTGATCATGTGAATGTTATAATGTCTGATTGTTTGTTGTTTTTTGAAACCTCACTGGACTTCTAGCTCATCCCTTTATTTGTTTTCCTTAACAGGGTGCGGGGATAAGAGAGACAAGCATAGTACCAGTTTGTAATAGGAAATCTTGAACTTGTATTTGACCAGTACTGTATTATGGTACTAGTTGTTCAAGTTCTTATCTTTTGGCTTGTACTTTGGTTTTGTATATTTGGACGATTTGTAGTATGTAAATGTTATATTGAAGAATTTTAGTGTTATTGATTTCGTATCCACAAAATAGTGAGTTTGAAAGTTGTAGTTCTCATTTTAAATAATTGTCATCCTATTTATACTTAGTAAATTGATTGAACTACTTGTATTTCGATCTATTTAGTTGTGCACATAAGTATGGATGTTTAGGAAAGTTGGATGGTTTGCAATATTTATTGGGGAGTTCATACTTACTTTGGAATTAATGTTATCTTCGAAGTTAATATTAGTGAGTGAGTCCTGCCGAGAGTTGAGCAGATGATCCGCTAACCTTTGGGGTACGCCCTAGGGGGTGGGGTCATTACACAAAATGCTTAATAGGCAAGTTGGTTCAAATTCGGCTTCCAATTTGAACACATGAATTGCTTGTTGTGCCTTATGTGGAGGTGATCATGATGAATCTATGTGTGCTAATGTTGAACAGGTACAATATCTCAACAATTACAATCGTCAATTCCAAAATAGCCTATATTCTATTACCTACAATACGGGGTGGCGAAACCATCCTAATTTTGGATTGAAAGAGCAAGGAAATCAATGAAGGCAGACAAATCCACTCAGTTTCCAACCAAAGCAATCACCTCAGGAGACCAAACTTTCTTGGGAAGTAATTGAGAGACTAGCTAATGCGATAAATGATAGAATGGATAAGTTAGCTAATGCTACTACACAAAGAATGGAAAGTATTGAGGAGAGGATGGATCAGTTTACAAGCATGTATAAAAATGTTGAAGTCCAAATTGGGCAAATAGCTAATGCTATAAATAATAGGGGTCAAGGGGAATTACCTAGTAAAACTGAGGCTAATCCATGGGAGCATGTTAAGGCTATTACCCTACATAGTGGTAAGCAATTGAGTGAATCTCGGGTTGTTAGGGAAGAAAAATAAAAAAAGGTGAGAAAAAAAGAGAAGGAGATGAGTGAGGTGATAGTAAGGGATGAAAAGGATAGATATAAAGGAAAAGAAATTGCGAGTGAACCTTCACATTTCAAAACTATTCCTATTCCACCACCAGTACCATTTCCGGATAGACTGAAACACTCAAGGGTTGATAAAGAATTTGAAAAGTTTGTTAAGATTTTTAAATACCTGCATATTAACATTCCCTTCATTGTTGCAATTTTGCAGATCCCTTCTTGTGCAAAGTTTTTAAAGGAAATAATGATCAAGAAGAGGAAGTTGGAGGACTATGAGACAATTTCATTGACGAAGAAGTGCAGTGCTATTATCCAGAACAAATTGCCACCTAAAATTGAAGGATCTGAGAAGCTTCTCCATCCCTTGCACCATTAGTAAGGTTGAATTTTCTAAGGCTCTATGTGATTTGGGGCTAATGTATCTTTAATTCCTTTGACAGTGGCTAGAGTTGAGTGAGTTGAAGCACACTAATATTTCATTGCAGTTAGCCGATCGTTCTATTAGGTATCTGATAGACATTCTAGAAAATGTACTTATCAAAATACAAAAATTTATCTTCCCGATTGATTTTGTTGTATTAGACATGGAAGCTAATGTTAGCATGCCTATTATTTTGGGTAGAATATTTTTGGCAATTGTAGGTACAATCATTGATGTTAAGTGAGATAAGCTAAAATTATAAGTTGGTGACGAGGAGGTAAATATTGACTTGAGTCGAATGGAAAAATATCCTTCTTGTACTGACCATATTTATTCCATTGGCATTATTTAAAAGATAACCAAAGAGATGAGTCGAGTGAACCTAGACTATGATTCTCTTGAATTTTGTTTAAATGATGTAGGAAGGCCAGAGAAAGAGATGGAAGAGATGGCAAAGTACCTAGATGTTCAATTACCTTACAAGAGAGGCAATTC